TTTACCTCACTGAAAATGTATCATGCTCCTCGTTTGTAGTAAGGATTTAAACTCATTTCCCTCTGTTTACTGAAGTTGTATCACGTGTTATGCATCGAATCATTTTTCCCCTTCCGTGGAAGATTCCTCCTTTGTCACCAGCTCACGATGATATCAATGGTCGGGTCCGTTTCCATCGTGCGTCTACTGATAGCCCATCTTTTGGAACGATTTTTTATTTAAAATTTATCTGATAGGGTTGATCCTACTTCATTGCATTTTAAGCTTATTTTCTGGAATTTTCTTTCTGATTCTCACCCATTTGAGTGTAAAACCAAACCCTCTACAAAGTCAGAGTTTCTCTGGGGACAGAAACCCAATCTTTCTTATGTATCTCGGTGTCCCCAGAACAGCCTCTGGCACGTAGCCATAACGAGTTCCTGTTTCTGAATGAATGAATTTTATGGCGCTCTCTTACTAAAGGTCATGGTTTCCTGGCTTTTTCACTTTCATTTTTTACTTGAAGAAATTAACCAAATGAAGGCCAGAGAAGCCCAAGTTCCCTTTGCTGTGCGCCTGCCGCACACCCAGCAAAGCCGCATCTCTTCTCCTCTGGTGGTGCCGAGGTGCGTCGTTGGGCCGTTGCACAGAGGAGGCGGCCGGGGCTCGGCGTGGTTCAGTGGCCTGCGTTTGAAAGGCTGGTGAGGGTCGGAGCTGAGCAGCTTGTCTGAGCTAGCCAGGAAGCAGGTAGATCTCAGCACACGTAGTGTCCGGTGTCGGTGTCCGGTGGCCTGTGTGATGCTGGCGCTTATGAGACCCCCTTCCACGCCGTCCTTCTTGGTATCCCGAGCACCTGAGCGTGGCCATGACCGCAGTGAGACCAGCCACTCCGGCGGCTCTTCTCTTCGCATCTCTGTGAGCCAAGAGTGTGTGTCCTTTTCCCTTTGCTGAGATGTTCGAGGAGGTCATTACTGGGAATGTCACCATCACTTTGCAGTCCTGTGGGGACGTGTGTTATAGACGTACGTGTGACAGCTGTTCGCAGTCTCCCTTCTGCAACTGAGAAGGACAGTGGCTCGATGGAGCGGAGGAGAGGAATGGAGCTGGTCGGGGCCCCCACTCCATGTCGGTATTCTTTGCCTCAGGCCTGTCTTGGCCTTCAAGGTCCCCATTGCCTATTTCAAGTTGAAGCTTTGACAGGTAATTTTCTTTGAAAGAGGGAGCCAGTACGATTCTATCTTACATTTTAAGGTAACGGGGCTTCTCTTTGCGAATGGAAAATCTAATCGGTAAATACTTAGCAACTGCCACGGGCAAGACTTTCGGCGTCCTTGTTGGCACAAGACGGTAACTGGAGGCATGGAAGATGGACCTGGGCCCAAGTTCAGGTTTACATTTATTAACTGTATGATCGCGGGCTTGACCAACCTAAGGCTGCCCTTTCTCATCTGGAAACGATAGGTGAGAATCCCCGTCCTGCAGAGTAGTGGTGAGGAGCCCAAGAGAGAACATGAGTTAAGAAGCCATTAAACTCATTAACATATAGATGTGGTTGTCCTGTGGGCCCAGGGGAGAAGGGTAGGGCCACGAAGGGGTGTCCGGGACGGAGGAGGAAGAAGCCATTGGAGCTGAAGGTCGATACCCTAGGCTTAGGGTCTCCAAGAGTAGAACCAAGGTCTTCACCAGGTAGGGATGGTCAGGGTGAAGTAGGAGAAAGAGGGAATGGAGGCCCCAAGCTCTGTCCAGAAGTGACTGGCTCTGTCAAAGCCTGGCAGAATTTTACATACTGACTTGGTTGCCAGTGTCTTCTACTCAGCTCTTGGCCTCCTGGGAGGCAGAGCTGCATCTGGTTGCACAGTGTACTCGCCCCGGCACTCGGCTTTGTGCACGACCTGGTTCAGGGACGGTGGAAAACACTTGTTCACTGAAGGAGCGAGGGCTCCTTGGACTGTGTTTGTTGACTGAATGAGAGTGACACTGGTTAATGACGTTTCCAATGTAGTCTAGAAGCAACTTCAAATAAGACCCATGAGAGAAAGGGACCCTGACGGGGACAGGAAGGATCTGTGAGAAAGCGCTTCTGGTTGGAGAGGCTTGCGGGGGGAGAGGCGTCCCCCCACAATTACTGCGTACAGTGTGGCTGAGACTCAGTCAGCAAGGGGGGCTCTTACAGCTTCCTTCAAGTCACATTTGACTTTTAATTGATACTGGATACAAAAACACTGAAAATAAGACCTTTAAAAATCCAGTCTTTTAATGTCTTAATAAGATAATAAGGCCTTAATAATAAGGCCTTTAATGTCTCAATAAGGCCTTTATGGTGCCTACAAAAAACCTTTCCCGGGCCCATGTTCATGTTCCGAGGGAAGCCCGGCCTCGCTCTCAGGGGGATCCGGTCGGGTCAGCTGAGGAAGCAGGAGGAGGGAGTGGGGTGCTCCCAGACACCGAACCACAGTTCCTCGCTGAGCGCTTTCTCATCTGTCCAGTGAAGGAAGAGCTGTGCCCTTCTTAGGCTAGACCTGTGCCTTTGACATGATTTGTTCTCAGGTGGCCAGGGGAGGGGGCGTCTGTCTGGAACCCAGAGTCCTTCATTCACCCAACAAACCGACTTGCACCTGCTTCATGCTGGCGAGGAGGCCGAGGGGAAAGGCATGGAGCCCACCCTCAAGGAGTTTCTACATAAGGTGTTCACTTTAAGGGCCCCCAAAAAGGAAGCAGGCCGGGGAGGGGCTCTGTCCATCCCTGCTGGACCTCACATGTGTTACCCAAGTCATGTGGTTTTCCTCCGACAGCTGTGAGGCGGCTACATACAAAACCCCGTGGCTCTGGCTGTATTTCTGGTCCTGCAGGAGCGACACGGGTCAGAACAGAAGGGCTGACCTCTCCCGCGCCAGCCAGGGCACATCGTTCCCCGGGGTCTGTCATCCGGCGAGGTTTCCCAAAGCAGACCGCTGCCACCTGCGCCGTGCCGGTAGTCAGAGGGTAGCCCGCGCTCCGGAGTTAATGTGTTCTCAGCAGAAGCCCCCGAACAGTCGGCAGCCCTGCTCCCTGCCGGCTCCCTGTGCCCGGCAACCGCACGCCGCTCTCTCTTGCTTTGTGATGCCGACCCACCCTCCCAGGATGTTCTCTGCTCCAACTGTGTATTTGCTAATTAAAATCAGTTGCCTTGTCCGTATCCATAAGCCCGTGATTGATTTGATTGCCCTGGCATTTGAAGGATGTTTTTTAGCATGGAGATATTAGAAACAGTTTTTTTAAAGGTAGAGAGCATCATATAATCAACTCCCATGTACATATCACTAGGCTCAGTGCTTATTAACATTTGCCACATTTCTTCCTCTCTTTTATTGTTTTTGAGGTCTTTTCTTTTTTTTTTTTTTTAAGATTTTATTTATTTATTTGACACAGAGATCACAAGTAGGCAGAGAGGCAGGGAAAGAGTGAGGGGAAGCAGGCTCCCTGCTGAGCAGGGAGCCCAATGCGGGGCTCGATCCCAGGACCCTGAGATCATGACCTGAGCCGAAGGCAGAGGCTTAACCCACTGAGCCACGCAGGTGCCCCTGTTGAAGTACTTTCAAGGACATTGCAGACAGCAAGAGATTTCAGTATCTGTCTCTAAAAAAATGACGTTTTCCCTCATGACCATGACATCATTGGCGTTTCTTTTTTTTTTTTTTTAATTTTATTTATTCATTTGAGAGAGAGAGCATGTGTAGGGAGGGGCAGAGGGAGAGAGAATCTGAAGCAGACTCCACACTGAACACAGAGCCTGATGCAGGACTTGATGCCATGACCCTGAGATCTTGACCTGAGCCGAAGCCAAGAGCCTGACACTCAGCTGACCGAGCCACCCAAGCACCCCAGTTTCCCCCCAGTTACAGATGGTCTATTCAGCACAGGATACGGTCATAGGCTACATGTTGCCTTTTGCTGTTTTGCATTTTGCTATTTTATATCTTAAGCTGTTAAAATCTTGAACAGTGCCTTCTCCCCAACTCTTGATCTTGTTGGTTTCTGTCATGTTGTAGGAGTTCTTGGATCTTTCTATAGAGATGGTGAAGTTTAGGGTGGACTCTTCTGTGATGCAGCTACACTTATGTTCCTGCCATGGGAGGCGCTTGTTTTTACTTCTTCATTTTTTTTTTTTTTTTTTTTTTTTTTTTGGTCACACATCTGCCTTTATTGGGAGCAGCGGGTGGGACACTTTCAGCAACAGTAAAAAAATTAATTTACAAAAGCAGGAATTCAGTGAAGCCGCCTGGCTGGAACCCTTGGGAGCTCATACGTAGATGCCAACCCAGAGCAGCAGGAAGAGGACTCCAAAACCCATGAAGAGCGCGAGGCCACCAAGGAGATGAGGAGCTCTTTGTAGATATCCCGAGTGTATTTGGTGGAGGTAACCTCATAAACGAAGAACCAGGCCGTAAAGAACATGCCAATTGCCAACAGCACCACGGTCAGATGAGGGAAGACAGCAGGGTTCACTGGGCTGGTGTATCTGCTCATGGCCTCGAGCTCCATTTTGCCAGGCACAGGGTCATCCACCGCTCCGCCACCTTACTTCTTCATTATTAAACTAGCTTCAGCAGCCTGGAAGTGATCAGATCAGATCAGGGGCGCGAGGCGGGGTGGGGGGGGGCTCAGTTACGCAGTCCGCTCTTGGTTTCAGCTCGGGTCACGATCTAAGGTCCTGGGATCGAGGCCCGTGTCAGTCTCCGCGCTCAGCAGGGAGTCAGCGAATCAGCTTGAGGTCCCTCTCTGCTTTTGCCCCTCCCCATGCCCCTGGGCGCTCTCTCTTTAAAATAAATAAATCTTTAAAAAAGCGATTTGGATCTGACCTCTGCTGGTAGTTAGCTGGAAGAAGCGTTCCTTATGTTCATTTCTTTCTCATCTCAAATAAAATCATCTTCTGGATTTATACGGTTTATTGACTTAAGATGAGTGCAAAGCCCTGAAGGCGGGTTCTGAACACCGGTGCGCGCGGGGCGGGAACAACCGCAGTAACTGCTGTTCGCGCTCAGTTTGCAGAGAAGTTCCAGGAGGTGAAAGAAGCCGCCAGGCTGGCCAGAGACAAGTCCCAGGAGAAAATCGAGACCTCGAGCAACCATTCCCAGGTACGCAATTTGTGCACAAAATAAATCTGGCGTGGGATCAGTAAGTGGGACTCTTTGTTCCTTGTCACCTTTGACAAGAAATAGGGACTTGCGGCAGGAGGGCATTTTGAAGGCTCTTCCGGCGGCTCGCATGCTCCCACTGAGGTGGATAAGACGTATTTACACGAGACTCGGATTTTCCAGATGTGCTGGTGTATTTTTGACAGGAAGATTAGAACCGCCGCACACCCCTGGCTCCTCAGAGGCATTTTCTGTCACTGTGTTTCCACACCAGAGAGAAGCAGGGTGTTCCCCTCCTGTGCTGGGAGGTGTGCCTCGAAAATACGGTGTCTTGTGCCCGCGACACGGAAAACTTGGTTGATGCTAGAGAACCCCGGTCTCTGTTTTGTTTTGTTTTGTTTTGTTTTTAAAGAGAGAAAGCAGAAGTAAACTGTTTGGTTTTTTTAAGATTTTTATGTATTTATTTGACAGAGATCACAAGTAGGCAGAGAGGCAGGCAGAGAGAGAGAGGAGGAAGCAGGCTCCCCGCTGAGCAGAGAGCCCAATGCGGGGCTCGATCCCAGGACCCTGAGATCATGACCTGAGCTGAAGGCAGAGGCTTTAACCCACTGAGCCACCCAGGAGCCCGTCTGTCTTTATGTTTTAATAAAGTTGGACAGGAGATGGTGTTCCAGCAGCTCTGGATTTAGCAAAGTAGATGTGGCTTTACCAGAAATTGAGTGTTCTGTCTACTTGAAAGTGTGATGATTGACCAAAAGGAATCTCTTTTAACCCAAAGTAAAAATCCCTGCCTTCTTGATGTCTGGTTTGGCGTACGTTGTGGTGCGCAGAAGGCCTGACTGAGGGGTAAGGTTCTGCTCAGAGAGACAAGGGAACAGGAGACATTGGGGGGAAGGTTCGGGATTAGGACTAAGCAGGGAGCAGCAGCAAGACGGCCGGGAGTCTGCCTGGCGGGAGCGGGGTGCGCTGTGGGAGGAATTAGAGATGTGCTTGGAGATTCTTCATTTCTAGTTTATTAATTATTATTTACTTAATTGTTATTGGGTCGTTTGGGCAGACATTGGAGGTGTTGCGTGATGGTCTCTCTGGAATCAACATGAGGGTTGCTTGCAGGTGGGAAGGAAGTCGGCGCGACAGACAGTGGGCAGATGGGCAAGGACACAGCCCCGGGGGTAAAGAGGAGGGGGTGGAGGTTGGGGACAGCCAGGGGACTAGGCTGTCAAGTTGGACATTTTCGAGTTGCTCGTCTGCTTTGAAGAAATAATAGCTGAAGCCTTGGGTATACCAAGAAGCAGTGTGGGGGGCTGGTGCCCGGGGGGCTCAGTGGGTTAAGCATCGGCCTTCAGCTCAGGTCATGATCCCAGGGTCCTGGGATCGAGTCCCATATCCAGCTTCCTGCTCTACGGGGCGCCTGCTTCTCCCTCTGCCTGCTGCTCCCCCTGCCTGTGCTTTCTCTCTGGCAAATAGATCAATAAAATCTAAAACAGTAAAGAAAGAAAGAAGCAGTGGGGAAAGGAGGGCAAAGCTAGAGCCGTGGGAAATGCACCCAGCTGTGGGAAGAGCGCCCCGGAAGACCGCAGAGAAGGAGACCTCTCCCTGTCCCCGAACCCGAGGCAGGAGCGCGCTCCGCAGGCAGGGCTCTGCGTTTGTCTGCTGCCCAGGCTGGCCCTGAGGACCCGGGATTTCCCAGCGCCTGTCCTGGCTCGTCATATGAAAGACGCCCCGTGTGAATTTATGGGATGTGTATTAGGCTTCAGGTGGACAGGAACTTTCCTGAATCTTTCTAAAGAATCTTTAATATGATCTGAATGATGCTCTTAATTTCATATACTAATTACCATACTGAGTAAATCGCTGAAGACCTAGAAAATTGGATACGGGCAATGGTCCATAACCTAAAGAGTTTCTAATACATGATCTTTTTCTGAATACCACGTATTATAGAATCATCCTTGAACTTCATAATCAGAAGTTCTTTATGTAAGGTTTCCATTTTAATGTTTGTTTTTACCAAAAAAGTATTTTTTTAAAAAAATTTTCAAAGGTTTATTTAGCCATTTGAGAGAAAGTCTGGGCATGGAGGGAGGGACAGAAGGAGAGGGAGAATCTTAAGCAGGCTCCCTGCTGTGTGGAGCCCATAGTGGGGCTCTGTCTCACGACCCTGAGATCATGACCTGAGGTGAAATCAAGAGTCAGACGCTTAGGGGCGCCTGGGTGGCTCAGTGGGTTAAAGCCTCTGCCTTCAGCTCAGGTCATGATCCCAGGGTCCTGGGATCCAGCCCAGCATCAGGCTCCTGGCTCAGCGAGGAGCCTGCTTCCTCCTCTCTGTGCCTGCTTGTGATCTCTCTCTGTCAAATAAATAAAGAAAATCTTTAAAAAAAAAAAAAAAGTCAGACACTTAACTGACTGAGCCACCCAGGTTCACCCCCCAAAAAGGTTTTGTTTTTTTTTTTTTTAAAGATTTTACTTATTTACTTGACACAGAGGACACAAGCAGAGGGAGAGGGAGAAGCAGGCTCCTTGCTGAGCAGAGGGAGAGGGAGAAGCAGGCTCCCTGCTGAGCAGGGAGAGGGAGAAGCAGGCTCCCTGCTGAGCAGGGAGCCCGATGCGGGGCTCAATCCTAAGACCCTAGCTAGGATCCGGACCTGAGCTGAAGGCAGCTGCTTAACCAACTAAGCCACCCAGGCGTCCCCCCAAAAAGCATTTAAACCTTAAAAAAACAACTATATCCCTAAGGTGCTATTTTATATATATGTATTAATTATATGTCAGTTTTTTTGTCTCCAAGCTTTAGTTTTCATTTATCTTCCTGACGTTTCCCCAAATGTAGAGATCATTGTACATTTTTCTGTGCTTTTTTTTTAAGATTTTATTTATCTATTTGACAGACAGAGATCATAAGTAGGCAGAGAGGCAGGCAGAGAGAGAGGGGGAAGCAGGCTCCCTGCTGAGCAGAAAGCCCGATGGGGGGCTCGATCCCAGGACCCTGGGATCATGACCTGAGCCTAAGGCAGAGGCTTTAACCCACTGAGCCACCCAGGCGCCCCTTTTCTGTGCATTTTTATTGGAAAACATATATTTGCTTGCTTTCCTGAATCTCTTAGGGAAATGAACACTTTGGGCAAGTTTTCCAAATATTTGAAGATCTTAAAACATCTTATATGGGTCTTATCCTGAAGGTGAAAGCAATACTATTTACTGTAGAAATCAAAACCGTGTGGTAGTCTAAACAGGAGAATGGGAACGACCTGCTTTCTCACCACACAAAGACACTGTTCATGTTTAGGTGTGTTCCTGATACAATTTTGTAATATATTTTTATATCTTTTTTTAACCTTTTTACTTTTTTTTTTTTTTTAAGATTTTATGTATTTATTTGACAGAGGTAGATAGCGAGAGAGGGAACACAAGCAGGGGGAGTGGGAGAGGGAGGAGCAGGCTTCCCGCTGAGCAGGGAGCCCAATGCGGGGCTCGATCCTAGGACACTGGGATCATGACCTGAGTCGAAAGCAGATGCTTAACCGACGGAGCCCCCCAGGCGCCCCAACCTTTTTACTTTATATTTCATGATCATTCCCCTGTGTTTTCAAATATCCCTTTTCAAAACTACCTTAATGGCTAGCATTTGTCTGTATAGCAACATATTCCATTAACCCACACTTTGGGACATCGATGTGATTTCTAATTTTCAGGAACATAAATGACCCTGTGATCAGTGTCTTTGTACATCTCTGCATTTGGTAATTTCTATAGGATAAATTCTTGAGACGCAAGTATTAGGTTAAAAGGTAGGGACATTTTAAAAGCTTTTGACAAACACTGCAGACTTGGCCTATAGAAATGTATGATTCTGACTCCCACCAGCAGGGACTGAGAACAATTTTTTCCTCCCACACTCTCACCAACAAAGCTTTGTTGACTTGACAGCAGGAAAATGTATTGTTGGCTTTTTTCATTTCATGTTTCTTTACCAGTGAGATTAAATATTTTTTGTGTCGATTAATTCTATCCATTTCTTCTTCTGTAAATGTCAATTATGTATATTTTTCCTTTTTTAAAAAAATCAAAGTGTTCATCTTTTTGTGTTGACTTTTTTTTGAGATTTTATTTATTTGAGAGAGAGCAAGAGAGCATGAACACAAGAGGGGATAGGAGTGGGGAAGAGGCAGGCAGAGAGAAAGGGAGAATCAGACTCCCCGCTGAGCAGGGAGCCTGACTCAGGGGCTTGATCCCAGGACCCTAGGATCATGACCTGAGCCAAAGGCAGAGGCTTAACCAACTGAGCCACCCGGGTGCCCCTTTTTGTGTTGCTTTCTAAGAATTTTATTTTTTAACATGTTTATTTTTGAACATACTCAAAGATAGGCAGAATTGTATAATGAACCCCCATGCAACACACAGATCAGCTTTAAACAATTAGGAATTTATGATCAGTTGTTTGCTGGGTGCCCCCCTCCCCTTCCCCCTGAATTTCAAGCAAATCTCAAACATCATTTCATCCGTAACTACGTCAGCATGTGGCTCTAAAAAGACAAGGCCTCTAAAAGGTTTTCAGATACTAAAGGTATTAACATCTTGTTTTTCATATATGCAAATGTTCGGCAGCCGATATTTTCCCCAGATTTTTGTGCATTTTTAATTTTGTTTACGGCATTTTGTTTTTTTTCCGGTGCAGAAATTCAGCGTTAGTCAAATGTAGGCATCGTTCCCTCCGTGGTTCTTTCCTTTGCCTTTATGCTCAGTGGAGGCCAAGATCTAAGATCTTCTCCAAGAGCAAATGAGATTTCACCGCCCTGTGGCATGACTTATTACAGAGAGCATTTCAGAATATTTATAATAACGCTGACGAGCCGTGGAGGCCACACACACATCCACAGCTCGTCCCTGCTGGTTTCGCGCGTCTTGCTCTCTCTCTGGCCCCAGGGGCTATAGGTTGTCCCCATTTCTGATACTTTTTCTCCTTTTCTCACTTACTCTTTCTTGTTCCCTGTTGTAAACCCCACTCCCCTCTCCTCCGTGGCTTTGGTGTTGAATAAGGGAAACCGGGTATTCAGGCTTGTCTGGAGGCTCTGTGGAGTGGGGTACCATGACGGAAGTGTGCTCTAGTCAGGAAGGTTCACACGCTTTCTCAGCTTTCCCTGGACTCCTCCAGGCCTTTTTCTTGGGTCTTTTTTCTTTAACAACTTTTTTTTAAGGATTTTATTTATTTATTTGAGACAGAGAGATACAGAGAGAGAGAACATGAGCGCAGGGAGCTGCACAGGGAGAAGCAGGCTCCCCGCTGAGCAGAGAGCCCAATGTGGGGCTCGATCCCGGACCCCAGGATTATGACCTGAGCCAAAGGCAGACACTTAACTGACCGAGCCACCCAGGTGCCCCCTCCCCGCCCCAGTTTTTAAAATTAAGTTTCCCAGGTAGAATTGAATGATTGCTAGCCTCTCGTGCTAGTCTTTGCCGTGTTCTGGTCTGATGAGTTGGTTGTCCCCCGCTCATGAACACACTTTCTCATTATGCCTGACCTGCTGCTACTATGAGCAAATCCGGTGTGAAGGTGACTCACTTTGGCCCGGAACCTGGGTGTGAAACCCCGTCTTCTACTCAGGTGTCCAGCGTCAACGGGACAGACGATGAAAAGGCCTCTCATGTGGGTCCTGCTGACGCACAGCTCAAGTCTGAGAACGACAAGCTGAAGATCGCCTTGACACAGAGGTACGGCTGTTTACAATCCACTCGGCCTTTTCCCAAGGTCAGTGCCTCCCGCGGCCTTTCCCACCAGGCGGGGTTTCACGAGGAGACCAGGTCCTGCTCAGAGTGTCTGGTCTTGTCTCCGGGCCAGAGGAAGGCCAGCTGGCTTCATGGCTGTTCTCTGTCTGACCGCCCAGACCAGGAGCGTGTGTGCCTGCCTGTGTGTGTGTGAGATTTCTGAGTGTGTGAAAGAGGGGTGTGTGTGTGTGTGTACACAAGTGTGAGAGAGACTGGTCCCTGTGCTTCTGTTTTGTTCTGGTTTTTTGAGGAAACAAATATATCATTGATTTGTACAGAATAAGACTGAGTCTCGAACATCCAAGAAAAATCTATAAAAAACTAACTATTAAGAATACAACCTCTCACAAAAATCAATAGCTTTTCTAGATACAAACAAGCATCACATAAAATATGTATTTGAAGATGAGAAATTCCTTTGTGATACGAACTAAAACCATCAATTACATGAACTAGAAACATAAATACAGAAAACTTAAGGGCACAGAATCTCTGTGAAGAAAGTTTTAAACTGATTTTGAGGGCCATAAATGAATAATCTAACAAATAGAAAGATACATTCTATTGGGAAGTGGTAGAAATGTCTTCATATTTTAAAAAGAATCCATTTCCTATAAATGGATGCATAAATTTAACACAGTCCCCATAATAAGATCAACATGATTTTAATTTTTAATGACTACACAGGCTGTGCTTACATTTTCCTGTCTTGAGAGTGTGACCCATTTCCCGACGGCTGGGCTGGCCCCGTGAGCCCGCTCAGAGCGGCTGTCCTTGGGAATCACACTGTCCTCACCCCGGGCGGGGGCTGGGCCACCTCCCCACAGCCTTTCTGTGGCTGAGAAGCTGCTCTCCCCAGACTTGCCCCATTAAAAAGCTGGATCACATTAACTCCATTTTACAGGAGTAAACTGAGGAAACTGAGTCTCGGTGGTAAAATGAGTCCTTGCCTAAGGTCACATGTCAAGGCGATTTCCCCACCGTCCTGCCTGCTTTTCACTTTTGTTGTTTAAGACACAAGATGCTGTTGGATGAAAACGTTTCACCCCTAAAAATAAAGGTTTTTTAAATTCCAACCTAATGAACAAGGGCATTCTAGGAATGGGTGTGAAGCCATTTCCCTAAAGCAGCTTAAATTCTCAATCATGAGTTCTGAGATTAACCAGATTCCATCTTGCTATTTTTTTTTAAGATTTTATTTATTTATTCGAGAGAGAGACAGTGAGAGAGAGCATGAGAAAGGAGAAGGTCAGAGGGAGAAGCAGACTCCCCATGGAGCTGGGAGCCCGATGCGGGACTCGATCCCGGGACTCCGAGATCATGACCTGGGCCGGAGGCAGTCGTCCAACCAACTGAGCCAGCCAGGCGTCCCTCCATCTTGCTATTTTTTGCCTGTGGTGTTTGAAACCGAAAGCTTGTATTTCTAGTCACGTTCCTCTGTCCTTGAGGCTGTGGGATGGAGGAGAACACAGGTTATTGAGAAACATTCCTATTTACTTACCCCCCCCCCAAAAAAAAGGCCTTTAGAGACAGAAGTGACATCAGCCAGGCCGGATTGATTAGAAGCTGGACACTTTGAGTGGGGTGTGTCCTGCGTGTCCTGTGTGCCCATGTGTCTGTGTGTCCACATGTCCTGTGTGTCCTGCGGGTCCTGTGTGTCCTGTGTGTCTTGCGTGTCCTGCGTGCCCACATGTCCGGAGTGTCCATGTGTCATGCTGTCCTGTATGTCCTGTGGATCTCGTGTGTCCTGCGTGCCCACGTGTCCTGTGTGCACTGTGTGCCCACATGTCTGTGTGCCTACGTGTCCTCAATGCCCTGCGTGTCTTGCGGGTCCTGCATGTCCTTGTGTCTTATGTGTCTTGCATGTCCCGTGTGTCTTTTGTGTCCTGTGGATCCTGCATGTCTTGCGTATCCTGCGTGCCCACATGTTCTGTGTCCGTGTGTCCATGTGTCCTGTGTGCCCACATGTCCTGTATGCCCTGCGTGTCTTGCGGGTCCTATGTGTCCTTGTGTCTTACGTGTCTTACATGTCCTGTGTGTCTGTGTGTCCACGTGTCCTGCGTGTCCTTTGTGCCCACATGTCCTGTGTGTCTGTGTGTCCTGCATGCCCATGTGTCCTGTGTGCTCACATGTCTTGTGTGTCCTGTGTGCCCACATGTCCTGCTTGTCCACGTGTCCTGCGTGTCCTATGCAGCTCTGGCCTCGGGGCACCTGCAGCTCCGCGCACGTGTGGGCTACAAAGCCAGGAGGCAGAAGGACCATGAAAGTCACCAGCCCCTTAGGGGAGCCCAATTGCAGTTTGTTTCTTGAAACTACTCCTCTGTGGAGCACATAGGATGGAAGACAAATGCGAGGTTGTTTTGGTCACATGGAGGCGTCCCACAGACCTGTGGACCTCCCCCACCCCTAAGGTGACATGAGGTCGGCCAGGGGGACACACAGTCCCTGTCCCCTCTGCCCTCTGGGCGTCGGCTCTGGATTCCCTACAGGCTGGGAGGAGGCACAGGTTGTCCCATGGAGCTGGGCTGCCCGTCACCCCCAGGGTCCTGGGTGTCATGGATTCCTGAGACCCTCGAGGGCCCGTTTCAGAGCCTGCGACCTTGGGGCTCGCTTCAGGAAGGGACAGGACAGCGGCGTCTTGGCAGGGGCTCCGCAGGGAGCGAGGGCTTCCTTCGCTGCTCCTTCCCCAAGAGTTTTGTGCTTTCCTGAAGCGATTCTTTAAGAAAGCAGCCCGGCAAGGTGACCTGTTGGCACTAGAGAGGCTCCAGCCCTTCGTGGCACCTGATCCCCGTGGCTGGCCGGGGGGGCCAGGGTATGGTGTGGGGTCAGGCGGGGCGGGTGGCCCCCGGCGTCCGGGTCACCGCCTGGCCCACCCGCAGTGCTGCCAACGTGAAGAAATGGGAGATGGAGCTGCAGACCCTGCGGGAGAGCAACGCCCGGCTGACCACGGCGCTGCAGGAGTCGGCCGCCAGCCTGGAGCAGTGGAAGAGGCAGTTCTCCGTCTGCCGCGACGAGAACGACCGGCTCCGGAACAAGGTGGGTACCCGGGAACCAGGGTCCCCGTCCGCCTCGCTTGTCCCGCCGCCCTCACTCGCCCCTCCCCGCGGCGGGACGAAGCGTCGCTGTCGCTCCCCCCACCTCCCCACTTTCCCGAGCAGGAACACGAGGGAGTGAGCAGGTTTCATCTGGCCTCACCCCTTGATGCTGGTCAGGGGTGGCCCTCCCGTGGCACGCTCCATGGTGCATTCATTTTGGGTAGAGGACAGGGATCCAGAGGGTGAGCGAGGACAAGAGATTCAGGGAACCACAAGGAGCGTTCCCTGTGCCGCCCGACTGCCATGCCACTGCTGCCAGAAAATCCCCCATGGAGACCCGGGGTCCCTGTGCGGCCGTGCTTTGATACTCAGCACATTGGCCTGGCAGGCCGTGGGCAGCGGCTACCCTGGAAGTGGCAGGAGGACACATCACCCCAAGACAGGTCTTCACTCTCCCTGGCCCCCCATCTGTAAGCTGCCCTGAGTGTAGCCTGAATGGGGCCACCAGAGGCCACTCCCCTGCTCGCCCATCTTTGCTGCAAATGGCACATAAAACTGCCTCCTGTCATTGTTTCTCTTCCACGCTGCAAGTGCTGACCGCGAGGGCACCGGGCCAAGTGCTGACTCCGTGCGTTCCCTGCCGGGGCCAGGCCGATCAGGCTGCCAGCGGGATCGAATGCCCTGTCTTCTTTCCAAGCAGGGAGCTGGCTCTGTCCCTTTGCATGAGTGTGACAGGGGAGGAGAGGAAGTACACTCCTTAGAGTTTGCTGCCTGACTGGGAAGCACTGGGAACTTGGTTTCCAGGACACCAGGTAGAAGGTGGTGGAGTCCCCAGTGGTTCCTGGGGCTGGGGGTTCAGACCCCGGGGGCTGGCGTGCAGCTGCCTCTGAAAGTGTCGTCATCGTGACCACCCAGCGCCCTTGGCCTTGAGGACTCCCGCCTGCTTGTGGGACCCCACCAGTACGGGGCTTTTGCGTTACTGCTGGTTCCCTTCTGCCTCGTACTCTGCACACACGCTCTGGCCGCTGGGAAGCGCTCAGCGTCGGAACGTAAGGCCAAGGCTGTGAGGCCTTTGAACCCCTTCCGAGGGGTCAGGCCTTGGAAGGGGAGGAGAAGGCATTCTGGGGATTCGCCCGTCCAGCCTGTACCTCTCAGCTCTCCCGGAGGAGGCTCACCACAGGCCAGGCCCCTCCTGCATGCGTCAGTAAGGAAAGGTCACCCGGGTTTAAAATGTTTGAAGTGTCATTGCATCTCATTTGGTGGCCAGTGGCCCACAGCGTTGATCAGTTCTCTTCCCTGCAGTCTTAATCCTTTCAGATGAAATAGAATAATTCAGGACATGATCAAGTGATGTAAAAAGTCATTATGGGGAGAAGCAGATAGATTCATGGGACACCTGGTCCCTACTCGAGACAAGTCCTTTAAAGCAAAGTGCCGTTCCTCCCTGTGGCGGTGAGTGGGAACCGGAAGCCGGGAGCATCCCGTGGCCAGGTTTCGTGACTGCCGTGGCTCTGCTGGCGTTAGACAGGGCGTCTTGTGCACACAGGGCAGGGCGGGCAGCCCCGCGGGGGAGCCACATGGGGTCCGCTGGTAGCCACAGGGAACAACGCATAAGTGGGTTAGTTCATGGTTCGTCGAGAGAGCGTAAACAGCCGTAGTGAACTTCAGCCGTGCTGAACAGCTCAACGGCCGGGGTGGGGGAGCCTCCCGGCCTCAGCCTGCGGGTGTGTCACAGATTGACGAGCTGGAGGAGCAGTGCAGCGAGATAAACCGGGAGAAGGAGAGGAACACGCAGCTCAAGAGGAGAATCGAGGAGCTGGAGTCAGAGCTGCAGGAGAAGGAGACGGTGAGTGGAGGCGCCCGCCGGCCCTGTACTCCTGGGACACGGCAGGTGTCTTGGGGTGGGGGGTGTGTGACCAGCCCCAGGGGGGAGGGGGTGGCAGCACAGGGGGCCAGCCAAGAGCTGCACCGAGGCTGGGACGCAAGGGGGAGCCGGACGTTGACGAAACAGTCGGAAACATTTGTAGGTGATCTGTCCTCGGAAGTGGCCAGCAAGAGCCCCCACTGTGCAGGCGTTTGTTTTCTGGGGGGAGGGGGGCGCAGGACCGCTAAGTGCACAGACGCTGGAGACTGGACCAGGCACCAAGCCTCCCAGCCTCAGTTTGCCGAGAAGAGGGGGTGCTGAGAATCCCTGTCTCTCTGTGGCAGTGTACAAGCTTCCCGCGGTAACGCATGTGACACACTCAGCCTTCGAGGTTACCGCGTGCTGAGTACTGACTCCACCACCTCTGTTATTATCGAGGACGGTGTAGACTCCAAGAGCTGCTTCCGCTAATGTACACACAGATCATGGGTTTTTAAGGTTTTCAAGAAGACGTTTTATCTGACTTGCTTTCATATCCTTTTTCAAATTTCGTCCCTTGTAGGAATTGAAAGACCTCCGTAAACAAAGTGAAATCATACCTCAGCTCATGTCAGAGTGTGAATACGTCTCTGAGAAGTTAGAGGTAGGAGGGCCGCCTCCCTTCACGTTGGCCCAGACCAGAAGGCATCCATGGTGTTACTCATTTCTCTGGGGCCTCCCTTCTCACAGCTCCCCTGGTAAAGAAGAGTGACTTTCTAGTCAGGAGAAGCCTGCAGTCACCCCATGACCGATGCCATCTCTGCCCCCCCAGGGGGCAGACTGGCTTGTGCTTTTTGTGCTTCTTTCAAAGTGGCCTGTGCAGAGCCGTAGTACAGGGACCATGTCCCACCTCCAGAAGTCTCCATGGAGCCTTAGGGCGGTGAGGAGCGGGGTGAGGGCAGGGCAGAGAGTGTAAGACCCAGAGCAGGGCCACCTCTCTACTCCCCAGTCAGTGACCTTGAGCATGACCTTGAGCGGTGCCCCTCACTGGCCTCAGATTCCTGATCACGTCCTCTTTCACCTCCCCCTACTTCAGGAGCACGTTATTCAGGTGTACAACCCCAGTATCAGTCACTGGTTCCTGTAAACCCAGAAAGTCAGCCCCTGGCTGGGTGTGGGGGGCACCGGCCTATGCCTCGGTTAGGGACTCAAAGCCACCCTGCCCTTAGGAGGAGCCCAACTGGCTTCCCAGTCACACCACTTGATCCCAGAGCGGGGACTGCCGGCCCTGAGTCTGGCACGGCCCATCCTGCCTCACTGAGGACAGGGAGGCCTTGGCCTCTCCGTGGAACCAAGGAAACAAGTTATTGCGTGGTTTGTCCGGTTTCTTTCTCCCATAGCGGAGCTCACGTGTGGTCTCTGTGGACCCTTCTGGGAGGAGGGCCTGCAGATTTCGTCTGCTGGGCCTTTGTGAAAGGGCCCACTTGCAGCCGGCTCCTCCCGCAGGACCCGAGCTCTGCACCGTGTAGGGCCGTCCTTTACCAGGCCACAGTGGGTCCTGCGCTCTGCCTGTCACCACCTCGGCCGGGGAACAGGCAGGAGAGCGGGGCGCACCGGGATGCCCCACATTCTGCGCTGATGTTCCCAGTCACAGGCCCGGGAGAGGGGACAGCTGGGCTGTGGCGGGGTGTCGGAGGACGCGCCCCCTTGGCTCCGCTCCAGGCCCTTCTCGCGTTCGTCTCGCTCCAGGCGGCAGAGAGAGACAATCAGAACCTAGAGGACAAGGTGCGGTCCCTCAAGACGGACATCGAGGAGAGTAAGTACCGCCAGCGCCACCTCAAGGTCGAGCTCAAGAGCTTCCTGGAGGTGCTGGACAGCAAGATCGACGACCTGCACGACTTCCGCCGCGGCCTCTCCAAGCTGGGGTCCGACAACTAGGGGCAGGGCCGGGGGCGGGGTGGGCGGGGCGTCCTCCCGTGGGCGGTGCTTCTGTCCGCGCGGGCCGGGTGTCCGAGGGCCGGGGGCGGGAATGGGGGCGGGGTGTCCTCCCATGGGTGGTGCCTCTGTCCCCGCAGAGCGGGTGTCGGCGGGGGCGGGGGCGGGGTCGCGTTTGCGCTCGGGTGGTGGGTGGTGCCGTCGCTCTCGCCTCTCCGGCCTGGCCAGGCTGTGGACCCCGGGAAGCCGCTGACTCAGGAACCCGCGCCGGGTCCCCCGCCCGCGGTCACGCGGTCAGGGCGGGGACGGTTGTATCTTTTCAAGGGCTGTTGCAACCGCACCAACTGAGCAAGGTGTTTTCTGATCCAAATACGCACACCCTTTACACCTTCGCGCGGAGTGTTTGAGCGTCGGCAGGGCGCCCGTGCGGGGGCGGGGGGCACGGGGAGCAGCTGTCCTGGGGTCAGAACCAAGATGCTTTCCGGCAGCCACTTAGTAGATGCTGGTCGAGAAAGAACAGGTGTCGGGGGCGCGCGGGGCCCGCCTGCCTGCCCTCCGCCCGCTCCCTCCCACCTCTGGTGTGTAGGGTTGCCACAACGTTCCTTTCCCGGGTTTTAATTTTGGAGCAGATCGCTGTGCGGTGGGAGCCACACGCGGTGATGGTGCCTGGCATAGAGTAGGTGCTTAATAAATATTTGTTCAACTAAACATTTAAACAGCACTTAGTGTTTTAATCAACCCCCCAGCGGAGTCCATCGGACCCTGTTGGACAGTCCATCCTCTTGCTGCGCTGGACAGGAGTTCGACTGATGGTGTGCAGTCCAGCTTCTGGATTGCCTCTGGGTGCCCCCGGGCAGGGTGGGTGGCAGAGGAGGCAGCAGGAGCTGGTCCGAGGCCGCTCACTAGCCCATCCATGCTGCTCTGCCCCTGGTGCCTTTGAACTGGGACCACCCTGTTTCTCTAGGGTGGGGATGTAGGCTGGAACCCCATAATTGGGACTGGACAGCTAAGAAATAAAGCACAGGAGTCCTCAAGAGATAGTCTGCTCAAACTGGCTGAGCTTTGGCCTTAGCGACAGGAGCTTCTGCCCCTGCCCTCTTTCTGTTCCTGCTGAGAAAAGGACCAGAGCCATAAAGCCCTCCTCTCTTACTGAGTTTCTCAGCAGGGCTGGGGGCGTCTGGGCTCCCTGCATGTGGCAAGATGGTTTGAATCCCTGGCCATGGGCATTTCTAAATGCCTTTCTGTGTGATGGAGTCTTTGGTGTCTCCTTACCCCCCTTGCCTGCTTTGGGAACCACCAAGAGAACATCTCCTTCTAGGAAGAGTTTCTAGAATTTCCCCCTAGTGGATCTGGGTGAACAGTGAAACAGCCTGAGGAGGCAGGTGGGCACACACAGATGTGAGCCAGGCCCTGGGATGAATCCTGCTGTTGAGACCATGTCTCTGAGCAGAGAGCTCCTGTCCGGATGAGGGAGGGAAGGCCAGCCAGCTGGGGCACCTGGGCACCTTGGAGTGTGGGGGGGGCACCTGCAGGCTGGGGAGCAGCTCCGCTTGGACACATTGGGCTCATGGCAGACAAAGTGGAAATTATGGTCTCTGGTGGTCTCCGGATCTTGTGCTCCGGTGGCACCTCTTGGTGACTTGACATACGCTGCTGCTGGCCTGCGTTTTCCCCAGAGTCCCAGATGGCTCTCAGGGGAGTAGCAAGCAGCTCCCTGTTGGTCAGGAGCCCAGAGAGCTGGGCTGGCCATGATTCGGCCCCGTGGCCCAGCGCTGGCTCCAGGGGCTTCTTCTCAGGACAGGTCAGCCCACCTACCAGCAGACGGGACCTGGAGCTAGCTGCCTGGGAGCAGTGCACGCTGGGATCCCAAAACCTCAGCTCCAGGCTTCAATGCCCGCCACCCCGTCTGCTCAGTGACTTACAGATCTGGAAGGAACAGTCTTGGCTGACTGGAGCCTGCTGGGTGTGGGGTGGGGGCACAGTCACAGGAAGATAGAGTTGCCAGAGCTCTCTGTGCATCCTGCAGCGGTGGCAGTGGGAAGCTCTGTGGGGGCAGCACTGTGACGGTGGGCTGCTGTGACCCTCCATGGTCAGGACCCGTGGTCCCTGGGCAGTGTGGCCAGCGCCTTCCAGGTGGTAGGATCTGCACTGTGGCCTCTTATGTTGCAGCCCAGGAGCCAAGAGCAGGAGGGGCTCCCCTTGGGGGGGGGGATGTCAGGTTCAGCGGGGAAGGCACCCCAGCTATAGGAGAGCGCTGGCCGTTCACTCCCTTCTGCTTTTCTCTAAAGATCTTAGTGCTTCTTCGCTGACTTTATTTAAGAAAAGATGGCCTGGGGGCAGCACAGAGGGTCTGTGGAGAGACAGGCCCTGGCACCACGAGGGTGGGTCCCATGGGTGCTGCCTGTATCCCACCTTCTGCCCGAGCCAGTTCCATGCCCTTACTTACGGGAACATCTAACTACACAGATGTCCTTTGGTCGCCCTCACCGAGGCCGAACATGGGCCTCACACCCGCCTCGCACTTGTGCACCCGCCGGCCAGGCCATGCTGCTCGGCCATGTCGAGCCATGACCCCGCTTCCTTGCCAGGTCACATCTCCTGAGGTTGATGTGTCCAGGGCTGGTCACCTGAGCAGGGATTAGCTTTTTTCCTGCATCTGTGAAACCTGGGGCCTGAAGGAGGCGAGGTGAACCGTGGAACCCCTTCATCATAATGGGCCTTAAAAATAATTTTCCTCCTGGGACACCCGGGTGGCTCAGTCAGTTAGGCAGCCGACTTGATTTTGGCTCAGGTCATGATCTCAGGGTCCTGGGATTGAGCCCCTTATGGGGCTCCCCACTCAGCAGGGGGTCTGCTTCTTCCTCTGCCTCTGCCCCTCCCCCTGCTCATGCTCTCTCTCTCTCTCGAATAAATAAATTTTTAAGAATAATAATAATTTTCCTTCTAAGTATCTACCCAACTGCATCAAAATCGAGAAGGATGTGGCGGGGGGTGTGGGGAGTCTTACTAGTGTCCAGGGAATGTAGCCCCCAAATGACAGGTTGGGACAGTGTGGTCACGCCTTGAAGGTAGAGTGAGCCAGCATCCACAGAGAACTGGAGCTTGGGTGGCCCATCTGTCCTGTGTGCTGTCACATTACACCTCAGGTGGGTGAGAGCATTGGGCAGTGTCATTCCCCATTTTGCAGATGGGGAACAGAGACAGTGACATGCCTGTCACCCAGCAGCCTCATAGGCTCCGCATCCAGCTCTTCCGGACCTTGGTCCGGTGTCTTTCTGGGCGCCATGCCACTGCTCTTCTCCTGTGACCTTTGCGTGCCAAGAAAAACGTTCTCTGAGACCCTGAGGAGGGCACGTTGCAGTTAAGTTATTTTAATATATGTCCACAGCAAGTGATGATTTATGAACGAGTGAACCAGAATTATATTTATAGTCATTACAGACCGTAAGTTCCATGTTTGAATGTCTCTGGCTCTGCAGAGATCTTTCTGAGAGCGTGTTGGTTAAAACGATGTCCATGCTCTGAGAGGCCAGATCTGCAGAACACAAACATTGCAAGTTCTTTGTTTTTGGCTTGCTTTGGTGGTGGTAGAGCGGATTGTCCAGAACAGGTGGGGAGCCCTGAGAGGGCAGAGTGGTAAGCCGGGTTCCGGCTGGGAGGTTGTCCAGCCGCTGCCCACTCCTGCCCGGACTGGAGCCAGCTCTGGGGAAGGAGCAAGCCAGCCCCATGGTTACAGCAGGGTGAGCGGGACCTGGCTTGACCTCCAGGAGGACTGTCCAGGCTTCCTGTGGACTGCTGCAGACTCAGACAGCCCGTGGACTCTGCCTTGAGGTTTGGGGGTACCTGGTGGGTAGATACTGTATTTGGCGTGAAGCATCGGGTCTGGGGTAGTACAGAGTAGAGCTCAGGCACTTTCTGGAAACACTGCCATCTGCCATTCTAAGGGACTGCTTTTGTCTAGAAATTGAGGTGGTGTTGGATAAGAGCCAGCCACCGGGCAGGCCACAGACTGTACTGGGGTGTACCTTAAAAGGGGGCAGCTGTGATGGGATTTTAGAATAGGCATTCAAAAGAATCTGCCCTTTGAGATGGAGACCGTCATGCCCTTTGCTCGTCACTGAAAGTGGGTTGTTTGTGCCATTGGTCCTTCTAAAAGTCACGACTCTTTTATTTCCTTGAAATGTCACTGGATTTTTGAAGCACTGACAATTTAAACTAGAAGTTTGCAAATCATTGTATGTATTTTCAAATGATGAGCATGGTTTAAAAGGAGCCTAATTCTGAGTACATGATTTCTTCAAAAGGAACATCATATATTTGGAGGGGCGGTGGCGGTGGCATCACAGAGAGGGAATCCTGTGCAGAAATGTATGTTCTTTACATGTCTTTTCCATACACCTGCCTCAAGGGTATGGGGTTTTCCTCTTTAAAAACCAGCCAGGCAAGAAGGTGACTTTGGTAATAATTTGGCAGCTGGATGGAATGTTCTAGTGAACTTAGGAGTGTGTGCGTGTGTGTGTGTGTGTGAGAGAGAGAGAGAGAGAGATTGGAAAAAGTGGGAGAAACTATAAGGAAGTGTTTTAAATAAAAAAATATAGATACCTAAGAATGGTCTTTGATAATCTTGGTAGTGATGCTGAATGTTCTGGAATCTTGTTTCTGAGGAGAAGAGTTTGTGTGTCTTTTGTTTTGGGTCGAATTGTACAGAGCCCTACTCTCTTTGATGATGAAGAGCCTTGTGAAAAGTGGTCCCCCAGGCCACACAGACCCCTGGGCACACCTGGCAGAAGGCCAGACTGTGGGACATTTTGGCAGATGATTGACAGGTCTAATGACTGGAGCTGTGGGGAACGTGTTACTATTTTTACCCTGTTGTACTGCTTTCAATGTAAAGTCCTGACTTTAAATAAATTGTAGCAATGTTTTGTGATATAACAGCCCATTAGGCATATCTTATATCAAATATAAAAATTTAATGATTAGTATGAGGTGGTCATGTGGACTC